GTCAGCGAGAACGTAGCAAACATTAGGGTCACTATTATGGCGTATAATGTCGCGTCGAATGATTTTCATGGGACACGGTAACGAGACCTTTGCGACTTTTATTCGATACTTTTATCGCTTTTTCGATAAGAGCCATTCTTGCGACCAAGGAAATTGCTTTGTTCGGTAATTTTTCAAATTGACGTTTCGTATTACGGTCATAGATTTGCTTCTTTTTTAACACACACGTATTATGAAGAGAAAGAGAGAGAGAGAGATCGATAATATAAATGATAACGAGTTTCGTAACGAGAACAATGCACATGTGAACAGTTACGTCGAGTTTGACTCGATTTGAAATTTTCTTTAAAAGTATTCTTATGTCTTTTTATGATTCGATCTTTTTAAAATGGGATATCATAACAATTTTTTTTTTATTACAGAATGTCAATAAATTCTATTGAATGATGCCCATATATATATATATATATATATATATATATATATATATTTGATTCTAATAAAAAAATACCTAAATACAAGTGTTCTTAGTGAACAAATAAAAAAAAGAAAGAGAATGCAGAGAGCGCAAGGGATTAATAAGTTGCCGTTAACTTTCTCTCTTTAGTTTAGTTAGAATTTCCTTGGGAATCGTATCGAATAAATGGTTTAATAATTTATAGTGTGAATGTAATGAAACAAACAAAAAAATATATATATGACTTTTTGAATTTTTGAAAGTAACTCGGGAATGTCGTGGGAAGGAGGTTCAAGATTATTCACAAAGTTATTCGAAAGTGTAATAGATATACCGCCACACGAAGTAGGTATTATTAATCATCGTACGCTTGCAAACGAGGAGTTAACGACCTTTGAGAAAAACGACGATGATGCATTCACCTTCGACTTATTCAGAAGTCAACGTAACACGCTTATCAACTTTCGGTTCTATATTGAGTTCGTTAATTACCTGGCGTCCTCCCCTCTTATCCTTTTTCGATATTTAATTAAGTGGAGAAAGTTGAACTAGTATCTTTATCGGTCGATGATTTTTTTCCGAGAACATCTCGTGAAGAATAATCTTGTCTGAAACGAATGCCTTTCGAAAGTCGTTAAATCATATATCTTTATCGAATTTTATGTCAACGTATTTAAACTTTAAGAATTATAGTCATCAAAATTCGAAGAAAAAAGAACCCCTCAAAAAAAGAAAAGATAGGTTGCAATGTACAAAGTTAAAATAACGAAATAACAAAAGGAAAGAAAAAAAAAATGAAAGAGGAAATACGGCAATAAGAAAAAAATAACAAAATTATTTTAAGTATTATTTAAAATAATTAAAAAAAAAAAAAAAATAATGAAATAACAAAATAACAAAATAACAACAAAATTAATTCCCATAATTTTCATTCGATATTTAAATAATTGAATAATTTTTTTTTAAATATTATATTACTCTATTTCAATATCAATTTCTATTAGTATAAATATAATATATATATACCCCTATGAAATTTCATCCTACGATGGAATTTTCAATAGTTAAAGAAAATTCGATCCAATTCCAAATGATATTTCTAACGTTATTAGATGAAACGATGGATGGTCAATGTCTAGGACATACCGTTAGAAAATATCGACGACGGATATTGTAAATTGATCTTACATCTGGGTCGCAACGTAACGGGACGTTAGAAACACAAACGACCGGTTATGGTGAGTACAGTTTGCCAATCGATTATACGCGTCATACCGTGTGATAAACACAGACCGTCGTTTCCGCACACTGTCGAGTGAAGTATAGTCGGTAAAGAAAAAGGAGAGAAAAAGAAAGAGAAAAAGAGAAAAAGAAGAAAAGGAAAGGAAAAAAAAACAAGAAAAGAAAAAAAGAAAAGAAAGTCATATCGTTTGGAGGATGAAAGTATGCGGAAATGGCGATTGGTGGGAGTCTGTTAAAGGCAGGAAATTCCCGGTGCGTTCGAACGGGTGTTCTTTGAACGGCACCGACTCCAGCGGGTTCTTCGGAAGGACGAAACAAGTTTCTGGGACCGGGTTACCCACATAGGATTCGAAGCTTCGGCTTGCCGCTACTACCTACTTATTCCGGCTGCATGCGACATGCGGCACGCGGCAAACGACACATACAAGTACCGAGAGAGAGAGAGAGAAAGAGAGAAAGAGAGAAAGAAAGAAAGAGAGAGAAAGAGATGAAGTAGAAACGAAGAGGGGAGAAGGAAGGAGACTGCTGCCGAGGTCGCTTGGAAAGGTCCGAACGAGCATCACCACTGCCGCCTACACACGTAAATGAAGATACCTAGGTATTCCCTCTGTGTGTTTACACGCAACCTCGCACCAGTCCAACTCCTCGAGATAATTGTGTCGCTAAGAACGATCGGTTTCAGCATCATCAATAAACAAAAATGTATTTCCATTGTTGTTCCATCAATCACCTCGCATCGATTACTCTCTTGTCTATCTACTATATATTCATATACTCTCTCGAACAAATCCTCACTGTTCGTCTGTCTGCGTCCGTTCGTTCAATCGAACGCTAGAAGATGTGAGGAAAATTGAGAAATTCGTTTTATAGTTAAGAACATCTATAAATTTGAGAATAGTGAGTGATCATGCATTACTTTATCCAGATAATTGACCAGGAAGTTAAACGATAATAGTTCGAATTTTTTAAAAATTGCAATCGGCGCAGATCAACATTTCCTTGAGGATTTATTTCTAAGAAGCCATTTGTTATCATTTATACGTGTATACACGTGTAGAGGTTATAAATTCAAGATTTCGTCTCAAGGGATATTCATTTTCTTCGCATCAAGGGCGTGGTAAGGGGAACGAGCGAAGAGCATAAAGATGAAGAGGATCGTCGTAAACGTCGCGTTCTTCCCTCCCCCTCCTCGTCTCTCTTCATCCACCACCCTTTACCCCCACAGTCGCCCTCTGGCACCATCGTAAAGACTTCTATCTTGGTTGGTCTCCGCGTCGTAATATCTTGTAACATCAGCTTCTTCTATGCAGATATACAACACAACGAGTGTAAGCAAGCAAGCAAGATATGTCTAACGCTTGATCGCGTTATACCAACGTAATCTAGATTTCCTCTTCCATTATTAATCGTCTTTTAATAATGGAAAGAAGAGTCGATGTATTTTCTTTTTTTTTTTTTTTCTTCTCAATGATTCCTCGACGAACTATTTGCTCATATAAATTAGATACACGTAGTCTTGTTTTACAAAAAAAAAAAAAAAAAAAAAAAAAAAAGAAAAAAGAAGGAAATTCTCTATTAGAGAAATATTTCGCAAGACCACTCCTTTCAACGATTAATCTAATTCAGATCTTTGCAGCTCGATCGTACGTACATACATAAGTATATAGTAGATCGATCACTTTAAACGGTAAACCTTTTTCGGACTTTCAAATGTGCATTATTGTGTGTACAGAGATGGTAACTCTTCGTTTCACAAATCACTTTGACCGTCAAAGTAGCAACCATCTGGCACGTTCGCGTATTCATCTGTATATGTATGTGTGTGTCTCTCTCTCTCCCTCTCTCTCTCTCTCTCTCTCTCTCTCTCTCTCTCTCTCTCTCTCTCTCTCTCTCTCTCTCTCTCTCTCTCTCTCTCTCTCTCTCTCTCTCTCTTTCTCTCTTTGATTCTCTTCCTACGTGTTTGCCTCTCCCTACGACATTTTATCTTTCCTTCACGATTTATGGCTTTCTCGATTCTCTCTCTCTCTCTTTCTCTCTTTCTTTCTTTCTTTCTTTCTCTTTCTATCTCTCTTTAACAGAATCTCCTAGATCGCGAACTACGACGTCCTTCGGCGGCCACGGCGGTACATCAAAGACCACCGAATCCCGCTTACGACGCTTTACGATAACTTTACGAGTCGGAATATCACGGACGAGGCGATATTTTCGTGCGATTCCCTGCCATCCTCGCGGGACATCGATCGTTTTTCTGACGTTCCATCGCGATAGCCACGTTTCTCTTCGTGTTTCTCCTACCACCCGCTGCTTATCGAGCAATACGTTACGACGCCTATGCTGTTCGACGTTGAATTTAACGCTTTTAACGCAAGATACGAGAATGTTTTCTTATATGTTGTTACTTATCGTGCGTTAATACTTCTTATTTTTCTATCTTTTTTCTGTTTCTTTTCTTTTCTTTTCTTTTTTTTTTTTCTTTTTCTTTCTATTTTTCGAAATACCTAAGTATTCTTTTTTTTTTTTTAAATATGACTGTTCCGATCGTACGAGTTTATGTATATATAGTTTATAAACATGTATATATATAATACATATATTATATATATATAATAATATAAATATATCTATAAATATAATATAAATAAATATATAAATATATGTGTATATATATAAACTAATATATATATATATATATAGTTTTTTTCGTATTTAAACAATGCTAGATAAAGCAGTTACGTGAAGATAGCGTAAAAAGCTTTTAAGGCAACCTTATGCATTAATATATATAAATATCTTTTTAAAATACCATTCATACTGTGTCATCGTAATAACATGTTAGAACAATTAGCTTTCTAATTCGATATGATACCATCGAGTTTCTCACGTTCGACGAATCCTTCGAACACGACTAGAGTATTATATTATCTAAACATATTAACGACACACTGTTTTACATATATGCATACGAGTAATATAACCTTGCACTCGCCCTCTTTTCCAAGATCATTCATTATATCATCATGTTTATACAAGATAGTATTATATCGCTTTTATAGTATATCTTTTGGTCAATCATATTTTCCTTAGTACAGAATAATCTCTGTAATAATAATAAAATATTTACATAATCGATACTTCGTAATAACAGTTTGTATCAAATTATTGATTAAATTCGATGATAGTTCAAGGTCTTATCGTTAAGTAAGTTTTAATATCGAAACGTAAAAAAATATCAGATACAACGTGCTTATACATAGTACATATAAATTCCTTTTATCTAAGATCACATTTAATATCTCTTCCTCTAATCGACTTTGAAGCGTTCGATCGAATAGTTAGAGGTACTTTGTTATTTACGTATGTGTTCGAGATAAACGAGGAAAATCTTATAACATAGGAGAAGATCGCTCGGCAGCATGAGAGAATAGAGTGATCGTTTGTAACACGGAAGCAAGTGTATCGAATTTAAACAGAAAGGTAGGAAGAAGAACCGTCGTCGTATTCTCTTAGCGCATACTTCGGATTCAGAATAGAGAGGGATGTTGCTGTTGGGAACGATTGGACGAAGGCAGAGATCGCGGCTCGTAAAGCGAAATAAACTTGACGCTTAGTACTACGGCGGAGGCGTTTTACGATTTCCCGGTGAAGGGTTTGCTTCATGAAGAGAACCTCGAAATCGAAGGAGTCTCGGTTCCGAGGATATACATAGGCGTGTACACGTCGACAAACCAACTTCGTTCCTCATATCGTTCGTTCATCGAATTAACAATCGAAATTCGAGTCGATCTTTTTTCTTTTCTTTTTTCAATTTCCATCCAACGACCGAACGCCGTATGTCCTTTGTTAAAAATTTAATAAGAATGTCTATTTATTAATGAAAAAGTATATTTATATATTTATATATTTATATACAATTATATGTTATATATTTATATATATATATATATAAATATATATAATTTAAATATATATATGTATAAAAATATGTATATATATATATTTAAATATATTTATGTATTGTGTGTGTATATATGTGTGTCTACCTACATATTTACAAAAAAAGATCATATTTTTCTTTTTTTTGTTTCAGGTAAGAGTCATCACCGACATCATGATTTCATTACCATTTCCTGTATCCGTCATGATAATTTTGCGGCCATCAGGTATAACGAAAGTTAAAATGCAAATTGCTCGCTCGTTAACTAAACCGTCCTATCGATCGTCTAAGAAACATACATAGATTATATACATATATAGCAAACATTAGTAATATACGCTTGTAGAACCTTGAGGGCCAAACCCTCGCCTTTGATCTTTTTTCCTCGTATTATATTTCCCGACGTCGTCGTTCGTGATCTCGTTTCAATGATTCTCCCACACGGTTCATCGATGATTATATTTTTTTTTCCCCATCGATAAACTAGAACGTAGACATGTATATCCATCGAATTATAATGACCGATCCATCGGATCGTTAAGGCTATCGTGTTGATTCTCTCATAACCTCGATTTGTTATATATTACAGTATAGTACCTGAGATTATTTATTTTTCTTAGAAATTATATATACTTACGTACTATAAAATTTTATCTTGCGTGAAATATTTACGTTTTAAAACATATTATTTTCGAATATTAAAATATGTGTTTGTCTTTTTTCCTAAAGCAGAGATCGTGTTCGCTCGTAAAATGGATGACAAATAAAAATATTAAAAAAAAAAAAAAAAAAAAAAAAAGAAAAGAAAAGAAAAGAGAAGCAAAGAAAAAAAAGAAAAAGTCAAAGATATATCATGTCGAGTGATCTCGTTTTATGTTCTATTAGTCACGCTTAATGACTAGTCCATTATTAATGATTCGACGAATGAAAGTTTATTATTACTGACTATCAGAATCTAATAATATAGATTACAGGGATAGTCTCACGGACTATTCGCACGATTGCTTTCTACATTCCATAATTGTAAACGTAACATCGTTTCGTATCTATCATGCGTGAGACTATTAAAAGTGACGGAAAATTAATGGAAAAAATACAGATAAGTATTTATTTGATTTTATACGTTTTTTTTTTTTTATAACTTATCGCCGGACGATGCTTTTAAACTGATTTTTTACGTTAGATTATTTTCTTTTCTTTTTACTTAGTTTTTTCTTTTTTTCATTCGAATGACAGATCGTTTTTTGTAGAGTTCGTTGTTTTTTTCTTTTTTGTTTTTGTTTGTTTTCTTCTTTTTAAGCCTCGAACGACTTATCGTAACACTTGTACGAAGGTTGAAAAGAGAGGAAGGGAAGGTAAGGGTGGGGAGAAAGGTAATGAAAAGAAATCGATCGAGTTACGGTTATCGTTGGTTCGGTGACATTGAAAGTAACGTAATCGCGTAAACGAGCTCTCTCCCGCAGGTGGAAATAATTACGTCGTTTTCGCGAACGCGTCGAGCATGCCTACACGCTTGGAATACATACCGACGGCTTTTACGAACGAGGTCGAACGAGGATTTGCTCTTTCCCGATACACAAACCAAACTTGATTCCTTCCTACACGATCGTTTTCAAGCGTTTACACGTTCCATTTAACTTAACGCACGTAGAATTACACTTCTTATTATTTTTCGCGCGTTGTTAAATTAGTCGATAGTTTTATCGACGACAAGAAATTCAAGTACTTAAGTATTATGGTGCAACCTATCTGAAAATTTTTTCATTCATATGTGTATATGTGTATATATATATATATTTGTATCTATATATTTTCTACTCGATCATTAGAAAAAATAGAAGATACAACGAAGAGGATTATCAAGACTGAAATTTGATCCACGTTGAACAGAATAATAATAAGAAGAAGAAGAAGAAGAAAAAATAAAAAAAATATTCTTGATCATGATGACTACTTGGCTACCAGTTTGAAGTAGCGAAAGAAAAAGAAAAGAAAAAGAAAAAAAACAAAGAGAAAAAAGAAGAAAAAAAAGATCGTACAAAAGTACTTTACCGAGATGATCGTTATCATCTCGTTACTTCCTTAACGTATATCGTTTTAGCCCTTTTTCGAAATGTCACAACGACGATGTTACGACTTTTTAGAAGATACGTAGATTGTAAGAAAAGTAAGTACAAACGACGTTTCTCCTATTCGCTCGCATTCGTATTCATTGGATACTGGTAACTATAATGGTATGAGCACGCCTTGCCACGAATACACGCGTTCTGGATTTTCAACAAACAGGTGCGTGGACACTTCGGGAGGATATAAATCCAGATGGAAACATGTTCCAAGGTGGAAAGGTTGTCCTTTGGCGCGATGAGTGTACCAAGATAGGCCAAAGAAACATGTCCGACGTAATCTCTGACAAACACTTGTGTAAACACCAAAAACTCGACGTTATTTTTTCAAGGTTAAAATATAATTTATTACTGGGTTTTTTCTTTAATTTTTAAATTTATATATATATATATATGTATTAGATGGACCGGAAAGTAATGTCGTTTCTGCGTATGTCGATATTTGATTGCAATTAAAAATAAAAACTTGTTAAAAATTTATTCGTTTGAATTTAATTTAAGAAAGCGACATTACTTTCCGGTCCACCTAATATATATATATATATAGTATAGAATTTCCCAATGATTTTTTTCGGACAATCAAAGAACACTGATCGATACGTGAACACATTAGTAATACATCTACTCGATGGAAAACGGTATTGTATTTTCGCGTGGGAGTCCATTCAACGTGGAACATTAATAATGAAATCCGTGAGGTAGAGTTGCGTTCTCCCTGGTATGAAATGCGACGGAAAATTCAAGACACGTATGTGTACGGTAACGCAGCATCTTGTTTATTGAAGTTTATGGGATTGCATGTGCCCGCTTTCGAGATAAAATCTATCTGACAGTGGAAATACACTTTGTACCGCGACGGGATAGAGGATCGTGTTCAACCGGTAAACCACGCTTACTATGTTAGTGTACGTACGCGCGTCTACGCCTCTTTACTATGCGTGTATATGTTCCATCTCTCTCTTTCTATATATATATATCGTTTTCTCGTTTCTCTCTCTCTCTCTCTCTCTCTCTTTATCTCTCTCTCTCTTTCTCTCTCTCTCTCTCTCTCTCTCTCTCTCTCTTTCTCCATCTTTTTCTCTCTATCTTTTTCTCTCTCACTTATTCTCTTACCGTCGTGTATATAAACTCAACTCATACATGCTCATTTAACAACGATCGTATTATGCAACGATAACCGTATGCTCACCTGCTTCGCCGCGGTTTACGAGAAACGTTACTCACTGTTATTCCTATTAATTATTCGTTAACGTAACAACAATACCGGTGCTCCATTCGTACTCATAGATCTTCTATTTGACTAGAGTCATAATGGCATCCGCGTAACTTCGTAATCGTTGAATATTAATCTTTTCAATATTAAAGCCGTGTTTTCAACCAATGTCCGAATGAAAGAGAGAGATAAAGAAAGAGAAAGAGAAAGAGAGAGAGAGAGAGAGAGAGAAAGAAGAAAAGATGCAGTTTAATTCGTACTTTCTCGATTTCTCGATTGTTTGACCTCTCGTAAACAACTCTTATAGCAAACAAGTCTTTTGACTAAGTTTACAAACGTAGACATGAATTGGATATTTATTTTTTCTCTACGTATTTATGCTTATCACCGTGTATAACGATGCTAATACCTTTATCCGTTCAATCTTTAAGAATATTTTTAGGTTCAAGTAGAAAAACTTGTTAACACTTTGAACTACGCGTAAATAACATATGGCCCAATTTTTCATTCGGATTTGATTTTAATAATTTTGCGTAAAGACGAAATATTATCATAAAATCCATCGTAATGTATCGTCAGCTGATACATAATTATCACATTTAATGGAATTTTTGTAAGATGTACCATTGATAATGAGTCATGCGGCGTGATAGAACGTTTTAAGTTTACAAGAAAATTCACTGTTGTTATCGTCAAATTATCAATCGTGTCGTTTTAATTTCATTTATTGTTTCTTATTAATATACGATGACAATTGTATAATTATTTCACGTAAGATATAAATAACATATAATGCAAATGAAGGATTATATTGATCTCCTAATCTGACTTTAAAATATTTTATAAAATAACAATTTATTTCGTTCTTTCTTTAAAACATTTAGCATGCGCAATATTGGCAGAAAAAGAGAGAGAGAAAAAGAGAGAGTTTGTTAGACTTTCTCTCAAGGTTCATTTATTATTATACGGAATATTTAACTTTGAAAAATTCGTTGAATTTCTCGTTAAAAGATAAAGAAAAATTTTTTTAATTTATAATCATAATAAATGCATATATATATATTTTTTTTCTTTTTATAATATATATTTTCTATATATATATATATACACGTTTATTAATTATTTTGCTACTAAAATTTGTACTAAAATTTTTTTAATTTATAATCATAATAAACGCATATATATATATATATTTTTTTTTTCTTTTAATAATATATATTTTCTATATATATACACATTTACTAATTATTTTGCCGATTTTATAAATAGCATATTTCATAATTTTAGAGATCTTTAGAATGAATGCAATAACGTGGGCCATGCACGACCCACGTGGCCTGAACGAAAACCCACGTGAAAGTACCCGGTCATTCAATGTGTTAATACTCAAAACATGTTAATCATTCCACGAGGAGAAAGAATTATTATACGTTAGGTGGTCGATCACCTCGAAGTGTCGAGAAATCGTTTAACAGGCATGGTTTATTACTTTGAGAGAACGTAAATCTTCGTTAACAATGAGAGAAATGACTGCTATGAAATGAAGCCGCGCGTATTATGTTTAACTCTCGTTAATCTTTTATTGGTCTTCGAATGGACTTCTTTCAATGAATTTTGTTTAAATAATTTTACGAAGATATGATTTATAATGATTTTTGATGTTTCTATTAGACGAATGAAATCGTTTAGTTGTTTCATTTGTAAAAACAATTTGTAGAAACAATTTAGGAGAAAAAGAGAGAGAGAGAGAGAGAGAGAGAGAAAAGAAAGAAAAAAAATGATCATTCGATAGAGAAAGTAAACTAAATCTGATTAGAAAAAAAAAGAAATGTAATAAGAAAAGAATTTGCGACGTTTTAATATTAATTTATTATTAATATTCTTTTATTATTAATATTAATATTCTGTTTTCTTCGTTTCTTTAAAAAGTTAACAAATAAAGGAAGTAATAAAAATTATTATTTTGCATTTGTATTTTCATAGATCGTAAAACTTTTTTTAATATCACCGATAAATCAGATTAGAATTGGTTATTTATACAATTTTGTCGAATGCGTTTTTTTTTGTCGATTCTTCTTCGTAAACTCGTGTGTGTTACCTTTCGATTCGGCGACAATGTTTACGCGATTATTAATTATCTTTGTTTCGCGGTATAGATCATGATTTATCGCTAAGTAATTTTTCTTTTACACCGGCGATAATAGTAATCCATCCGAATGAAATCCTTATCTATCACATGAGCGATGAATTACAAGAAAAATGTCAACAGAAAGAGAGAAAGAAAAAGAAAAAGAAAAAGAAAAAAGAAAAAAGAAAAAAGAAAAAAAAAAGAAAAATTTAATGGCCGAAGATATTTAAATAAATAGAAAATTTATATCAGTGCATTATCTCAATGCATTATCTCTTCCCAGTCGTATAGACCCATATATGCATATATACATACATATATATACATATACAAACATATATATATACTTACTTATCTCTCCTTTGTAAAAGCAACACCGTTAGAAAATATAAAAAGATGTCTCGTTATCTCGAGGATGGGCTAATAAAAAGAATATAGAGTGAGACGCGGAGAAGAGATGACTATGTTACATCTTAGCGCGGTACAATAAGCTGACAGCGGCTCACGAAACTCAAAGGGACTCACCAACCATTTTGCCCTTTACGAGCTAATCGACCTATCTGACTTATTCGACATAGCTGTTTCGGGCGACGATACAAGCGGCTTTTTATTTTATCATCAAAGAGCTTTCTTTTTTTGGGAATATGGCAGGGGGGAAAATGGCGACGATGAGGTGGACATTATCGTTGAAACTAAGTGAATAGCTTACATATTATATGAATCACATTAAGCCATCAGATTTATCTAATTATAAAATATAATTATTTTTGGTTGGGGCCAATCAATGTTCCTTTGTCACGTTTTACTTCGATTAGCAATATTTCGAATAAAATCGGCACGTTTATTAAATAAATATATTATTTACTAATTGGTTATCAAAATTTTTTTCTCGTTTTTTTTTTTTTTTTTTTTTTAAAGATTAACATGCGTATAAAAGATAAGTATGGTTTAGCAGATAGAAATAATTTATTTAACACTTGTCAGTGTCGAGACTTTTTATTTTTGATTTATAAAAAGTTATAAAAAAGATATCAGAAAATATAAGGATGATCAGATGTTGCGTTCGTTATTTTTATATTTCTTTTTTCTTTTCTCTTCTTCTTCTTCTTCTTCTTCTTCTTTTTTTTTCTATTCAACTTTTCTTTTGTAATAGATCAAAGCGGTAAATCGACAAAAGCCGTTTGACACTGAAATGCCGACGACGGCGTCATGGCGGTCAAGAGCACCGCTACTTTTTCTTTTCTTATCTTTTCTTTCATCCGATCGAGCACAGCCACGTGGTGTGCGTTTCTTTCTCTTTTCTCTTTTTGTTAAAACGAACGATTAAACTTTACGACACCCATTACAAGTCCATTTCGTCGAGTGTCATGACGCGTTTAAGGGTATTGTAATCTCTTTGTTCAAGTATAATATTAAAAAGTGATAGTTACAATAAGAATAAAAGATATTGATGTTAGAGTCGTAATGTTGCACGAGGTTCAGAAATTTAGTTTATACTAAAATAAGATACCTAACGTTTTGAATGAAACGATAAATTTTCTTTTACCAGAGAAGGTTTTAGGTTTTATGAGGAATCAAAGCTGATGCATGATCGTAAACAATTTCCCGTTTATTGACGTTGAAAGCTCAGGGAAGAAAGTGCATAGATGCATATTTCGTAACAGTTTAGTGAAACCAATGATGATCTTTGCGCAAAAAAAAAGAAAATAAAGAAAAATAAAAACATTTTATTTAAAACAATTTTAAAGAGCACAAATGTTCCTCCCATGGGAAACTCCGATTGATTTTACTTTTATATTTCGACATTTTCATTTTACGAGGAAATTTCCGAGGGATTTATTTCTATTGCAGACGTAATTCATAGCCACGCAATATCATTAAAGAACTTAAATCGGATCTAAACGATGCACTTGTTATTTTCTCACGGTCTATAAGTATAGGTATACGATCTTCTCGCATAAACGTGTGCGATAAAATGAAAAAAAAAAAAAAAAAAAGAAAAAAAAAAAAAAAAAAGAAAGACTTTTCCCCATAAAAATAGATTTTCATACAAATTTCGTAAATGATATTTTGGAAAAAAAAATAGAAAATGAAAACGATATCGCGTAGGATCGAAAAAGAAAATAGCTGGAACACATAGAAAGCGCAAACGTTCATTGTACTCGAAATCCAGATGGAAGTAAAAACCAATAAACGTGGACTCGAATTGTCGAGACAAAGGATCGTAAAATTTAATTACCCATTGAGCACCGCGGTAGTCGATGAAACTGGTCGATAGTAGTAGAGAAGTGTATATATATATATATATATATAAATAAAAAAAAAAATATATACAAATCAAAACAAAATAAAAAAAAAATAGTTGGATAGATCGGTCTGGTCCGAAGTTGGCCGCATCTTGATCGACCATAGAAGAAGGCAACGTTGTAAAGCCTGTTATCCTTTATGTCGAGGATTCCTTATTTTAATTTCTTCCTAGGAGCTCTTGCGTTTTACAGCTCAATGATTTTGCGATCGTGTATCTCTACGCGAAAGCATGATCGCATCGCTCGACTCGAAGCTTACTATACTCTTTCAATCGTACGTATGTATGTATATATGAATATAAGTACATACGTATATACATATGTACGCTCGAATCGCTCGATATATATCGTCACTTTCGTATTATTTATTAACTTTCTCCGTTAAAATCCATCCAACATAAAATGCAAGTATGGAAAAATATAAAAAAAGAAGGGGGAAAAAAGAAAAAGAAAAAGAAATAAGTATATATACACACCTATTCTCGATTATTATATTCGAAGAAAGAAACTTTTTTATTTTTATTTTTATTTTCTTTTTTTTTTTTTCTTTTTACTTTCACGAAATATCAAAATATCGAAAGGAACAGAAAGAGAAAGAGAGAGAGAGAGAGAGAGAGAGAGAGAGAGAGAGAGAGAGAGAGAGAGAGAGAGAGAGAGCAGACTCGAAAGTAGATTCGTGTAATAGAGAAAACCGAACTAAACTTGAATATACCATACGTAAGTACATAAGTAAGTACATAAGATTCGCGATTATCTCTCGGTAAAGAGGGAGAGAAAGAAGATAGAAAGAGAGAGAGAGAGAGAGAGAGAGAGAGAAAGAAAGAAAGGGAGAGAGAGAGACACTATAAGTCATGTTGGACTTGGTAGGCTAACGTTTGAATAAAAAAAAAGTAAAGAAAAGAAAAGAAAAAAGAACAGAAAAAGAAAAGAAGAATCATATACGAAAGATATTCCTCTCTCTGGCGGAGGATTCATTGCGGTCGTTAATTGTTTCACCCTGCATTAGCATATAAATGTAACCACCATGCCGATATGATCGTTAAACGCAAGAAGACACATTGGACGTGAACGTCTCGATTCAACTGTGCGTCCTTCGACCGGACTCCTCCTTGCTTAACCAAGAAACGACTAAGTATCCTCTGGTTATATTAATTAACTTTTCGACGGTATAATGATTCGCGTGCGCTCGTTCATTCAACGGAGAAGAAAAATCGACCGCCAACCTATAACGTATCATGATCGAGTTTATACCTATAAGCTCGAAGTAATTCTTTTTTCTTTTTTATCAAAGTTTTAAATATACATATATATATATATATATATATATATATATATATATATACATATACATATATTTACATATATCTACTCGTCGACTTTCGATATACGAGTCCATTGATGATATATCGATATAATTAATATAAACGTATATTTTATTTATTTTATTTATTTAATTTATTTAATTTATTTTTACGCCAAGTATTATTTCTTTTTCTTCCCCTTCTAGCCCACCTTCCCAGCCTCGCTAATTATACATAAGTAATCACGATCGAATGGTCGATTCGTTAATGTATTTATCATTTAAGGACCTATGTAACGTATATGTACTTACGTGCATGGAATGGCAGGGGGAAAAGAAAAGGTTCGAAATGCTGAAAAACCGAGACCCGTCGCATAAATCGCGTTTTGCTTGGCTGCCTGCTTTCGCAGGCTAGGGCAACGTCGCTTTTACCACGGTGGCATGCAGAAACGAGCAAAGTGCACCATCGTAAAGCTTCGTTTCTCTTTCCTTATCCTCCTTCACCTTCTCCTTCATCTTCCTTCCTTTCTCCTCATCCTTTCGACCAACCCTCATCCATTCTCCCCCTTCTGTATCTATCCCACTCTCTACTACTTTTCTCCTTCTCCCCCTCCTCTTTCTGGGATGAATGGAAGACTCGGACTCTATCGAGCAAACTCTACTGGTTGGCAAGTGGAGCACGTCTATAAAATAAATAGCAGCGAACCTTGCTTATACTTCTCCTTCGCTTTGCTATTGAACTTTAGAAGTCGCCGTAAACCTTTTAAACTCTCCTTTCGCCGTTGGTCGCGCACACGATCGATTCCCGATAAGATCACCGGCTCCTTTCGAAAGTATTACGGTTGATTATACGCGTGCCGTATTCCGTTAATAAGTCACGAGTTATTGCCAATTTCTGGTCGCTTTACTTTCAAGTATTATTATTAGACATTTATGTACTCACTGATGTATTTTTATCATTCTTAAAAAATATATATATATATATATTTATATATTAAAAAAAAGATGAAGAAAATTTATCTAATATGGTGGATCCATAATGGTGGTTACGCAGTATCGATATTTTTTCTTTTCTTCGTTTGTCGGTTACAAATAATTCATCATATTCGTTTC